TCCTACTTCTCCTTCTTCTCCTCCTCCTCCTCCTCCTCCTCCTCCTCCTCCTGCTCCTTCTCCCTTCTGCACAGCCCGAAAGCCTTACCAGCCTAGCGTGATGGCGGCGGACGTGAGCGCCAACCTGGCAATGACCCACGGAGAGATGGGCGATTCTGCCAAGGCCTTCGAGCTGCTGAGTCGCTGTCTGGACATACGCAAGCGGCACTACGGGAAGGGCCACGTCGTGACCGCGAATAACATGATCAATCTCGCGGCGGCGGGCAGTCACCTGGGGCGGCTGAAGGAAAGCATGGGGTTACTAGAGCAGGCCCTGTCGATCAAGGAAGCGCACTTTGGTCCTGAACACGTCGAGACAGCGATGCTTCTGAACAATCTGGCCACTGCACATGGGCGCTTGGGCCAGTTTCAGCAGGAGGCTTCCCTTCTGCAGCGCAGCCTAAGCATCATCGAGCGACATTTCGGAGAGGACCACGTGGAGACGTCCACGGTGTTGGGGAATCTAGCAGGCTCTGTGGGTGCCTCTGGCGATTTTCGCAAGGCGGAGTCCCTCCTGAGGCGGTGCTCGTCCATCGTGGAGCAGCATTTTGGCCCCAGGCACGTCAAGACAGCTCTGGCTCGGGGGAACCTGGCCTGGGCCCTGCTGAAGCTCGGCAAGGTCAGCAAGGCGAAGGCGCTGCTGCGTTCCAGCCTGAGGGCCCAGAAGGCGCACTATGGTTAAGTCGGGCATGTCCCTCGACAGGAGGAATCTTCAAACATAGCAAAACGCAGTCTGGTGACGATTTGTCGTGCTTTTTTTGGACAGAGTTGGCTTATTCTTGGAGACTGTCTGAATTGGTCTCCCCCCCAAAAAAAATCGCCTGTAGGAGGACATGCCCGACCTAACACCATGGCCCTGGGCACGTCGACACCGCGGACGTGAGGACGAATGGGAAGGCTTCGGAACTGCGCACGGGCCGCCCCCGCCCCCCCGCCCCCTTCCAAAGGCAGCCCCAGATGGCCTCCACAGGCCCCCGAAGGAGTCCCCGCTGGCGAGTCGTCCGGGGCGGCTTCTACGCCTGCAGCCCTGGGGCGCGGAGCCTCCCAGGGGGCGCCGCCGGAGGCGGCACCAGGGTGCTGAGACCGCCACGGGCCACTCGGGGGGCCTGTTGAGGCCAGCTGGGGGCTGCCAGGTGTTGAGACCGCCACGGGTCACTCGGGGGGCCTGTTGAGGCCAGCTGCGGGCCGTTGAGGCCAGCCAGGACTACCTGGGGGCCTGTCGTTGCGCAGCCCGCGGCCCTGCCGGCCAGGACAAACCTCGCCCTCTGCTACAAGAAGCTGGGGCGCCCAGCTAAGGCGGTGAAGCTCCTCCGGGTCTCCTATGCTGCGGAGGAGCTGCACTACGGTAAGGGCCACCTCAGCACGGCCGGCACTCTCGGCCACCTGGCAGAGGCCCACGGGGCCCGGGGCAACCTGGGCAAGATGCGCTCGCTCCTCGCGGAGAGCCTGGGACTCCTGGACGACCACTTCGGCCACGACCACGAGACCGACGAGCCTCAACTGGGGGAGCTGCGGTCCTCACCACCCCCTGGGGGCCCCATCGGATTCGACACCATCTCGGCTCCCGATCGAGGGATCGTCGATATGGTGGATTCCGCCAGGGTGGTCCCTGAGATCCTACGTTGCGAGAAAGACTGCAGCTTCGCGGAACAAAAACGACCAGAGCCCCAGGCTCAACCTTGTTGTGGCATTTTCCGAGCCAGATCGATCTGTGAAGTCCCCAGGGCCCGCGGGGAGGCAGTATCGCCCGTTGAGAAAAGTGAGACGCCATGCCTTGGCCGCGCGCAGGGGGGTGTATAGGGGATAGGGGGGAGACTTCGTAGAAGCACCCCTGCTCCTTAGCGGGCGCGGGCCTTCTCTATGGATGTGTGGCCGGCGCCTCCTAAGATCCGAAAAAGCCAAAAACGACATAAACATCATCTTTTGGCGCTCTGCACAGATTTCTTGGATCCGCGCTGGGACCCCCCCGGCGGCGCCTCCCAGGGAGGGGGGTCCAGCGCAGATCCACGAAATCCGCGCGGAGCGAAGACAGTGTCTGCTCATGCCGTTTCTTTTCTGCCTCTAAAGATGCAGCCTCTTCCTAAGAAACCTTCCCCCCTCCCCCTACCCCCTTGCGTGACGAACGAACAGCGCACACCCATACCCACAGGAGGGTCGGAGGGAGGGGGACTGGCTATGGATGCGGGTGCGGGTTGTCGGACCCTGGGGGAGGCTCCCGTTCGAGCGGGGGGCCCCATCAGACGGCACGCACCCGTGGCCCCCTCGGTCCCCCCTATGGGTATGGGTGCGTGTTGCTCGTTCGTCATTGCGCGCGCTGCCCAGGGCCAGCATCCCATGGGGCAGGGAGGCACGGTCCTCCTCCTCCCTCCTCCTCCTCCTCCTCCTCTTCCTCCTCCTCCTCCTCCTCCTCCTCTCCTCCTCCTCATCCTCCTCCCCCTTCCTCCTCCTCCTCCTCCTCCTCCTCCTCCTCCTCCTCTCGCCTCCTTCTCCTCCTCCTCCTCCTCCTCCCCTGGCTGCGGCTTGGCGGCGAGAGCTCCTGCCTCTTCCTGGCCGCGGCCGGCATCCCCTGCTGCGTCGCCGGGGACCTCGCGGCGGCGCGCGGGCTGTGCGACCGGGCCCTGCGCGCCGGGCGGCACGGCTGCGGTCACGGAGGGTCGAGGAAGCGGAGGTTGATAGACCTTCTTCTCTTCCTCCTCCTCCTCCTCCTCCTCCTCCGAGCCTCCTCCTCCTCCTCCCCCGTAGCCATTTTGGCTCAAGACGGAGTTTACCTCCCGTCCCGACTCCAGAGGCTCGAGGACCGAGGTGGAACGGCAGCCCGCCTCAGGCCAGGCTGCCTCGGTCCCAGGTTTCCAGCAACGCACAACCTCAGTTTCTTTCTTCTGCTGGTCGCCGCGGCGAACGGCCAGCACCCAGTCTCCCCGCAGCCATGGGAGGCTACAAGCAGTGGAAGAAATGCTACTGCCAGACGCCCAGCTGCTGGGGCTGGACCTGGCAAGGGCATGGTGGTCACAAGCATTGTTCAGAATGCGGACGCAGTTTCAAGCCTCAGTCTCATCATTCCCGACCAGCAGGTAACAAATCGGCAGGACACGATGATGGTGGCAGCACCCAGCAGGCCCCCCGCAACAGGTGGTCTCGCAGCCGAGGTGCATCCCGTGGACATGAGGCTCAACAGCAGCAGGATCATGGACCCAAGACGTCCCTCGCTCCAGAGGGCACTGACCCAGCCAAGGACGACGTGGCCATCTGCATTCAGGCTGTCAACTTTTGGAAGAAAACGGTCGGCCAAGAGGGGAAGCAGTACATCCAGGCCTGCGAAGACCTCCGCCTGGCCAAGACCAAGGCGCTCGAGGGCAAGTCGCTGGACGCCAAGACCCAGTCGCTGGCCGACCAGCTCCAGCGGCAGAAGCGCAGGCTCGAGACGAAGAAGGGCGAAGTTGAAAAGAACCTCATCAGCCTGGACAAGGCCGCCGAGGTGTATGACAAGTCCGTGGAATCGTACAAGGAGCTGCTCGCCGAGGTCTCCCAGCTGGAGGCTCAGCACAGCGTGGCAGCGAAGGCAGCAGTGGCGGAGGCGGCTGCTCGCCTCAATGGCCCTAACAACAAAGAAGACACGACCTTGCTCAACTTTGTGGACAGTAGGTTCCCGCAGGGCCTGCCTGACCACATCAAGCAGGAGCTCGTGGAGGTCAACAAGAAGCTGGAGCAGGAGTGGCAGCAACACCAGCAGCAGCAGCAGCAGCAGCAGCCGCCGCAAGTGCTTCAACCTGGGGCGCCTGATGGTGGTGCTCAACCTGTTGCAGTCCAGACGCCCACTCCACCTGATCGACCTGGAGAAGGGCTTGGGCCTGCTGCAGCCGCCATGGAGGATGACAGCCACCGTGGCGTCATTCGCAAGCACGCGGGGAACGGCGAGCACCTGGTCCTCTCCACCGCCACGGGCATCCAGTGCCTCAGCGAGGAGGCCCAGGGGGCGCAGGACCGCCTCGCCAAGCGCCAGGCCCGCCTTGCCGCTGCTGCACCTGGCGGCACAGGCTCGGGTGAGGCTAAGCCGTTGGATGGGTAACAACCTCAGAATATGCACGTTCAATTGTAGCAGTTGGTCTGGAGTCCGTAAGTTCATGGTTTCCAAGGAGGCCAAGGAAATCCAGATTATCTGTTGCCAGGAGACGCGTATTCGGGAATATGATCTGGTCAAAGAAACGGAGTGGTGTGCTAACAGGGGATGGTTAGCAATTTTGTCGCCAGCTGTTTTGAGTACCAAGGGTTTTCCGTGTCAGGGTACTGGAGTACTAGTACGTTCTGGCCTAGATCTTGGAATTACCAAGCTACCTCTTCCTGAAGGTTTCCAGAAGTCTCGGGCTACTGTCGTCAGCATTGAGGCTCCAGGTCACCAACCTTTCTGTTTAGGATCGCTGTATCTGGCCGACTCCGTCGGCTTGAATGAGGAGAACCTCACAGTGCTGACCAGTGTTGTGCAGGCCGCCTCCGACCTCTCTTTGTCGCTCTTGCTAGCAGGTGATTTCAATGTGTGCCCGTCCAAAGTGATCGAAACGGAGTTCCCGACCAGGGCTGGGGTCCAGGTGATCGTTCCAGACACGCACACCTTGTACACTAAGAAGTTAAAGACAATTATAGATTATTTCATGGGGTCGTACTGTTTCGAGCACTTCTTGAAGCAGCCTAAAGTTCTAGTTGACTACCCGAGTAGTCCACATAGGCCAGTCGTGTTGGATATGGTGATTGGGGCCCCATATCTCATCCCCGTCCTGGAGCAGCCTCAGTTCATCCCAGTGGTCGCCCCTGTGGGTCCTCGCAACATGGTCCCACCGTGGTCTCGAAGTCTTGGGGCTCTGGAATGTCTGGAGGGACTTCTTGAGGAACGGGATCAATATGCCGTGTTTGGGGACACGGGGCAGTGTTTTCCTCTTCAGCCAGTTTCGCTTGAAGCCTTAGTTGCTGCCGTGGACGCGGCGTATGGCTACCTAGTGGACGACATGTCCACCACGCTCAGTATCGTTACCGACGCGCCGCTCAAAAGTAAGAGGCGCCGAGCTCAGGTGCCAACGATAAGATGGATACCCGCCAAGGCTGTCGAGGCCAAGGATAGGAGGAGTTGGAGGAATGCAGCAGCTGCTTTTAGATGGTTAAGGAACAAAGTTACCAACATCAGGAGGGGAGTGGAGGAACAGGACCTCGAGGAGCTCCACCAGGCTCAGCTCGACCTCGCCTCACCTCCTGCTGATTTGGAAGTAGTCGCAGAGTTTGAAGCTTTAAGAACCAGTGTACGCACGTGTATTCAGGCTACGCTTTTGGATGCCACCCACAGCGAGCCCAATTTCGAGCTCATCGCCATCGTTTTCGAAGATCTGGACTCGGAGATTTCAAAAGCTTTGGGCCGTGAAATCGCCAGGGACTGTTCCGACGACCGACAATCCTGGAAACTTTGGGTCACAGAAGCCATGGGGAAAGGTGTTGGGTGGGCAACCCTGAAGAGTCTGGAGTTCTGCTAAAGCCCGTTGGTCTGGTCGTCCGATTGATATGTTGGAGGCGGAACAGCAACGCTTAAGTAAGTTGTGGCGAGCTCGACCTGAGGAGCCTGCCCTTCTTCAAGCCGAATTGCGAGGTGAAGACCTTGCAGACATTTCAGCAGATCAGTTGCGCGCAGCCAGTCGCAAATTCAGTAGTACCACTGCTAGGACCTGGGACGGGATCCACCCTAGACACTTCAGCCTCCTCGAGGACGCCCAGCTGGCGATTGTGTGTGGGCTCCTTAGGTCCATCGGGAAGATAGGAGCCTTTCCGACGCAGATAAGAGCCATCGTGACGGTTCTGGTCGAAAAGCACAAGCCAGGTCCTAACCCAGGTCCTAGCTACAGGGGTATAGGTATGATGCCTGGTCTTTGGAGAGTTCGGGGCAAGCATCGTCAGCTTGAGTTTCGTGCCTGGGAACGCGCTCGCCCTCGTAGATATCTAGCTCATCAAGCTGGCAAAGGTGTTTTGGAAGTTGTTTTCGAGCAAGCAATGCAAGCAGAAGGGCAATTCTTGGGAGATAAGAAAGTTTTCTCAGCTGCTGTTCTTTGGGATTTATCCAATTATTATGAATATGTGGATAGGGGACTCTGGAGGGACAGAGCTCAGGATACCAATTTCTCGGATTCCCTGGTAGTCATTATTAGCAATCAGTACCAGGCGCCCAGGACAGTAGCCACGAGATCCTCAGCCTTACCTGCAGGTTGCCCAGAGAGAGGTATCGCTGCAGGCTGCTGGGCCGCCACTTTTGTTGTACAGCAGTACTGCTTGCCGCCCATCGACATCTGGGTGGCTCAGAACCCCAGAGTGCAGCCTACCATTTTCATTGACGATTTCCTGCTTGCCAGCCACAACAGCAAGCCGAACAAGTTGATAGCTGATCTAGTCACGGCCTCAGCCAGTATGCATCAGTCGATCGTCGTCGATCTTAAGTGTGATATCGCTAAGCACAAGGCTGCTGTTGTGGCTTCGACGCCGAGGATCAAGGCCGATCTTGCGGCCAAGCTTGGCCAGTGGGCTGGCCCTCAGGCTGGTCTGGCCGAGACGGCAGCCACTAACTTAGGAGTCGACTTCACTGCAGGAGCCAGACTAAGGAGCAAGGGGAGGAAAGCTTTGAAAGGAAGAGCCTGCAAGTTGAAGTTGAGACTTCGTCGCCTGCGCGCCCTTCGTGCTGCTGGAGCTGACACTCGTAAGGTTTGGAATACGGGGCTCCAGCAAGCTGGTTATTTTGGGACTGAAATTCTTGGGATGTCTGTGCAGGAGCTCCAGGAGGCTCAATCGCTGTTCTTGATGAAGGTTGCTGGGCCCAAGTGTGCTACGCGTTCTCGGGCCTTGTCGCTCGCTATCCTTGAGGACCCTACCTGGAGATCTGCCCTGGGGCCATGCATGTACTGGAGCATCATAGTCTTCCGAGCCGCCCAAGACCCAAGGACATCAGAATTCACCCTGCCCGAACTCCGACAACTGGCGGCCAATATCCTGGACAAGCCACCCTCGGGATGGGGAAACATACGAGGTCCTCTTGGGGCGGTGCATTTAAGTCTACTTAGAGTTGGCTGGTCATGGACCAGCCCCATGGAGTTCATGAGTGGGGAGGGCGAGGTCTACCCGCTCACCGCCAGTTCGCCAGCGCTCATTCGTCAGATGCTGGAGGCAGCTTGGCACGACAGGCAGGCGGAGCAGGCGGCCATCAAGATAGGAGTGCCAGCAATTGATTTGTCACACGCCAAAGCAGCAGTTGCAGATAAAATATTATCTAAGCAAGATCGAAGTGTTCTCGTCTCGTACCTGACCCAGTCGATATGGACCAAGTGTAGACTCAAGGAAGCAGGTTACGACATTGACACCACGTGCATATGCGGGGCCCCCCAGGACCACATATTCCACCGCCTTCTGGAGTGCCCCAACTGTGCTCAGCTTAGGGAGGAGTTTCTTGAGGAAGGAGATGTGGAAGCCCTGAAGGACCCAGCAGCCTTTGCCACGTGTGCGGGTTTTCCCGAGCCGCCCCCTTTCAAGGTCCCGCGGCCCGTAGGATTAGGTTTGAATGAAGCTGTGTTTTGGTCCCGTGATGGCCGTCAACCCGCGGAAATTTTCGTTGGCGAGGTTTACGTCGACGGCAGCGTGGCCAAAACAGGCCACGCTTGGTTTCACGCCCCAGGCTGGGCTACGGTTAAATGTGACCCCCATGGGGAAATAGAAGCCTACCTGTGTGGGCCAGTAGGCAGCGCGCTACCACCCACCTCCCCAGCGGCCGAATTCCTAGCGTACCTAGCCAGCAGCCAGTTCAGAGGAGTAACTAAGATCTACTCCGACTTTAAGGGGGTCGTGGCCTTCCACAATTCGGGACTCCCTGCCAGTAGGAAGAATATATATGACGGGATTGGTGCTATGGCCAAGCTTGGAGAAGCCAGCCGCGACGGGGGTTTCGAAGTTGCCAAGGTCAAAGCCCATCAAGATGTAGATTCCCTCGAGCGCTACTCTGAAGAGTGGCGCCACGCCTTGGGAAACGATGCAGCCGACAGAATTGCCAAATTAGCTGCCTCTCGCCTCCCTCAGCCCTCGGCCAATGAGCGTGACGCCCAGCAGCTGCTCGACCAGCGCGTTCGAAGGTTCCTTCGGTTTGTGCCGAAGGCCCTCGTGTTGTGGCCTCCAATTGCGCCGAGGGTTGGGGGAAAGGCCCTGGAGGGGCCTGTGAAGGCTACCAACCCCGTTGTCGGAGCTGGCTCAATCGCGGAAGTGTGGCAAGGCGGAGCTAACTCAGGGGGCTCCTCGGGCTCTGGAGCTGCGGCGGCTCCTCCCCCTCCCCGCCCCCTTCGGGCCGCCCGTGCTCGCGTTGGGCACGTCTGGGCGTGGCAGAAGAATCGTTGGCTCTGCTGCGTATGCCACTCGCGTTGCCGCTCAGACAAAGTAAAGGTTTCACGTGATAAGGAAAGGTGCCCAGGCAATGCTGCTAGACTAGCTAAGCTTGGCATGCAGCCCAATGGACACAAGCTTTTTGTTTACGACAGCTGTGTTGACGAGAGTTTTATTGTTGCATGTCACCTATGCGGCAGTTATTCAGAGTGTACTGTGAAGAGCCTCCAGAAGAGTTGTCTCAGGAAATTCAAGTCACACTTTTCAGAAGGCGCCCATGCGCGCCTCCAGGAGGGGAGACATCCACGGGCCTCTAAGACGAGTCCCATTGTCTTCATGCCTCCGATTTCAATCGATGCGGTTGCCACCCAGGCAGCCCAGGCGCTCGAGTCGCAGTAAGCGAAGTCGAACCCCTTCCGAAGCCGTGCGATGGTCCTCCTCCTCCTCCTCCTCCTCCTTCCCTCCTCCTCCTCCTCCTCCCCCCTCCCCCCCTCCTCTCTCCTCTTGTCCTCCTTTCCTCCTCCTCCTCTCTCCTACATTGCTCCTCCCCCCCCCCTCCCCCCCTCCCTCCTCCTCCTCCTCCTCCTTCCTCCTTCCTCCTCCTCCTCCTTCCTCCTCTCCTCTCCTCCTCCACCTCCGCCTCCTCCTCCTCCTGCTCCTCCCCCCCTCCCCCTCCTCCTCCTGCTCACCCCCCCTCGATTAGCGAATTGGCCGTTTTTTGTTCGCGGGAGGGCGTCGCGGGCCGTCATTCTTGTGGGTTAGGTCCGCCGGTCTCGGTCCTGCAGGCCGTTTTCACCAGAAAGGGTAGTTTACGAAAGGCAGGGGTTTGTCCACCGCCGAAAGAAGAGCAGATTGCATGAACATCAAGTGTCGGCAAACCCAGGCAAACCCAGGCAAACTCAAGATTTGGACTCAGGATGCAGGGGCGGCTTGGTTGGAGGAAGAAGCGGCATGAACGAAGCTTTTTGGCGCTCCGCGCGGATTTCTTGGATCCGCGCTGGGGCCCCCCCCGGCGGCGCCTCCGGCGCCGCCCATGGCGCGCTCCGAGCGCCAGGGGGGGGGGGTCCAGCGCAGATCCAAGGAGTCCGCGCGGAGGTTTGTGTTTATGCCGTTTTTTCTCCCTCCAGAGGGGGGCCGCCATCGGGGAAATGGGTCCTCAGGGAAACGGGTCCTGAGGTTTTTCGCCGCCTTCGGGCCGTCGGGGTCCATCACGGGCGCCAGGATTGTCAGATAACGACTCAAGAAGGATGATGATTTGGTGCACTGGCCATGAGGCACCAGCCACTGGTGACCATGGGGCACCACCGCTAATCGGGGAGCAAACACAGTGCACAAGTTCTTGGACAGTGGCCGACAGGTGCACAGGGCCAGTTCTTCACAGTGCAAGTAAGAGCCCCTCAGCTCGAGCGGGGAATAGCAGGTTCCACCAGTGGAGCGAGCCTTGAACATGTCGGCGGTCGGTGGGGGCATTCCCAGCTGCTCACTGCCACCCTTCCGAGGAAGAGGCTGAGGACGAGAGCGATTATGAGGACGAGGATGATCAGGAGGAGCAGGAGGAGGGCGAGGAGCCAGGAGGTGGAGAGGGAGAAGTCCCCCCATCCCCCGTGTTGGCCTGCGCCCTGCCAGCAGCAGTGGTCGCACGCTCCCCCGAGGTAAGGAGAACGGGCACCTGATGGGAATCGCGAAGATCCGCGCCTCATCGCGGGGATCGCGGAGCGGTCGGCGCCGACGAGCGGCTGGAGTCTTGAGGGGAAGTTGTCCTGAGGGCAAGGGGTCCCTCAGGAGGGGAGGAGGAGGAGGAGGAGGAGGAGGAGGAGGAGGAGGAGGAGGAGGAGGAGGAGGAGGAGGAGGAGGAGGAGGAGGAGGAGGATGAGGAGGAGGAGGATTCTGCTGGATTCTGCTGTCTTGCCACACACGTGGCCCTCACTCCTCAGTCACTGTCGCCGCTGTCCTCCAGCGCCGAACAATCAGCCTGCTGCTGCTGCTGAACCTCCTCGCTGCTGCGCTCCTCCGCTCGAACCCTGGGCGGTCCGCCTGCTCTCGAGCTCACCTCCGCTCGGAGGCGCACGACCGTCTCACTCAGGGCAGCGGTCGCAGCAGCAGAGAGGCCAGCGGGCGGCGGCAGCAGCGGGTCCTGCAGGGTCATTGCGTCGGCCATCGCGCGCGGATGGCGGTCGGCCGACGTTCGCAAATACTCGTGCTCAGGAGCACTGAGCAGGGGCGCCATTGGCCTCAGCGACTCGCAAGCCCCCACAGTTCCTTCCTCCGAGGGCAAGGGGCCAGCTCTGCTCACAGCATCACACGCCTGGGCGGCGCGCACACATTTGGGCGGGCCACGGTGCGACGGAAACAGACCACGACGAATTCACACCAAATTCTCCCCCCCTTTCTTGGTCGGGGGGGCGCACTCGAACTGAAGCCTCCTGCCGTCAGAAGTGGCAATGAAGCCGCAGTGCATACAAACACCTAAATTGAAAGCCTTCATCTTGGCCAGCGAGTGTGACGAGTGGAGCGCGACTCCGCCCACAGAAACCTCTCCCTGGACCGCCTCGAAGCCCTCTCCGTACTCAGGGGGGAGGACACGTTTGCCAGCCGCGCCCAGCCCATTGGCGACAGGAAGAGGAAAGCACGGGGTCGAGGCGGCCTTCGACACTCTACACCGAGGGAGGGTGAGGTGGCAGAGAAGGCATCTCCAACGGCCAGCAAAGGGAACAAACCTATGTTGGCTGGCCTCTACAGCACGACAACATTTACTCTTGCGCGGAGGTTTCTTGACACTCGGTGACCGCACGCCAACCCAGGTTTCAACCTCACGCGCCATCAAGAGGGCCCGACGGGCCCGAAGCCTGACCAGCGCCGCCGTCGTGTCCCAGAGATCTGTCTGGGGAGCAGGGGACATCACGCACCAGTTCCAACTCCAAGCAGCAGCAAAACCTGCCCAAGTATCGGCGTCAGCATTGCCAAGACTCAGGAAAAGTTCGAATTCAGTCCTGACCGTCTGTAAATCTTCATCTCTGTGAGAAGGGGTCCAGAGCAGGGAAACCTCCCCAGGGCCGCGGGCCTCGAGGCCCCGTCCAGCACGAACCCAGAGGTCGCCGTTTTGGCCCCGAGGAAACTTGGCACGCCCCGCGTGCCAATCCGAAACCAAACTCTTACAGTCGGTCACGTAGCAAATCGGCCCGACCGAGCACTCCAGAGCAAGACAGAAGGCCTGAAGCTCAGCTCGTGGCACTGTCTGCTTCCTTCCCACGAGCACCTGGGCAACTCCACAAACTGGGCTCCAGAAGGGTGAGGAGGGATCCTGGCACATGACAACAATAGCCGAGTCACATCGGCGCCGCCTGGGATCCGAACTATTCTCGCCTTCAGAGCCGTCTCCAAAGATATACAGGGGAGGAGCACCAGGGGCCACACCATGGTCCAAGACGCTGCCCACCCCAAGAAAAACCTTTTGGGCCACCTCAGGGGTCTCAACAAACTTGGGCACCACAAGGTCCTTCGGGGGGACTCCTCGGAGCCACAACGCTGGCTGGGCGTCAAGGCTCGCGAGAGCCTGGGGCACTAAGACATCCGTTTTAGCAACATCTTCATGCCCGCTGTTAGCAGGGCCTGTCCAAATCCGATGCGCTAAGGTCTCTGGCCTTTCTTTACAGCGGGGGCAAGGCGGCGGGCAGGCATAACCTGCGGCAAGCTGCCTCTCACGAGTCCACTGGCCACCCCCGGTGACGGCAATGTCCGCGGACCACTCCTCGAACTGCATTTTCTTCGCGAAGCGATTCGGCTCGATGGTCACCGTCGGCATGTCCGCGCCGTTCACTAAGTCCTCTCCAGCCGCGTGCTGCGAGGCGGCCTGCCACTGCTGCGTCAACCAATCGTCCATGAAGGCGCCCAGCATGTCATCGAAGTGCGCCAGTGCTTCTGTGCCGAATTGTTCATCGCCGAAGCTCGGGGACAGCCGATCATCAATCGTGCCAGCAGGTCGCGGGCGGGACCAGACCATGGGGGGACTGTGGGTCCCAGCCAGCCTGCAGCAGGGTCGCCTGCAACGCCGCAATCGGTCCACGCACATCTCTCCGATTGGTGGCTCTCCCTTGTTCGAGCTTCGCCAAACCGACAGGCCGCGCTCTCTTGATCCTAGGGTGCAGGCACGGCTGGGTCTGCCACAGGGATGCCCATTCGCGCAGCAGCTGCCGTCTCAAGTCGATGCCTGGGTCAGCAGTGCCATACACCGCCTGCCGCACAGAGTTGAGGCACCTGCCCCTCTTTGGGCCCGCCACTGCTGCAGCCGCGTCCCGTCGCATAGCCAAAAGCGTAGATGGAGGGGTGCCCATGATCTGGTGGCCAAAGACTGCAGACGGGTCAACTCTAGTGTTCCACAACTTTTTGGTCACAAAGCGAACTCGCCCAAGGCGCCGTGCTTTCATGACCTTCCGTTGTCTGCGTCGAGCCAGGGCGCGCCTCTTGTTCATGCGAAGAGTGGCCCTTCTACGAGCAGCGGCAGCATCGGAGCCGAGATCAACTGTGGCGCTCACGTACTCGACAGGAATACCTTTCTTCCTCAACCGTTTCTGCAATTCGCATCCGATGTCATCACTGCTAGCCACCAACTTGGTCTTCGAAGAGATCTGCAGCCGTAACTCACCCAAACCAGTAGCCATGACATCTGCCGTCGCCTCCAACACGTCAATCACCTTCTGCTTGGAGCCCTCGGCACGACCGACTATGTCATCGATGTAGCTCCACAGGCCAGCAGGGGGAACCGCGCGGTGCACTGTCTCCAGAAGTCTGTGCAACATGACCTTGGCCAGCGGGACACCATGCCCTGACCCTGCAACGATCGACCTGGTCACCACAATCGTGTCGGAGATCATCTGGCCTTTCTTCAGCAGCCGAGGGGCCGAGTACAAGCATATCTCCAGCAACAAAACAATCGGCGGGAGTCCAATATCCATGCCAGCCCTCATCAGTAAAACAAAACTCATCGAATCGTAAAACTTGGTCAAGTCCAAGAACAAGGTAGCATGCTCGAAGGACAGCTCATGGGCGCCTTCGTCCAGCACAGCACGTATCAGCGCCGCCCTCAATGCTGAAGACCCCGCTATCGCAGTATCCCAGAAGGCAGCGAGAGAGGCCGACCATTCACAGGTAGCCTGAGATCGAATCTTGGACCAAACCTTGTGGGCCAGTGGAACCAGTCCCAGTGCACGACAGCCGCCAGCCTCCTTCGGAATGGCGGCGCCCAGCACAGTGCTAATCGCCGAAGGCCAGGCGCCCACCTCCTCGACCGCGTTCAGGATGTCCACGTAGAGTTGGCGGGCACGAGCTGGCTGTCGCTGAATATCTAACGGGCTCATCGCATCAACTCCTTTCGCCTTCTTCGCGGGTGGGCTGGGCAGAACAGAGTCCAGATCCGACAAGGTAATGACAGGACGCGGGTCAGCACGCGCAGCGCCCAAACATCTCTGCATCATATCCAAGATTTGCTGCGGCTGGTCCACAGGAGCTGTCCACATGGTCGTCCACTCCGCTGCCATACCTTGCAACATCTCTTGGCTGTCAGAAGTGACGGTTCCGAAGGGGTCCTTACTCTCCCACACAGGGGCCGCAGCTGGCTTGACGTGCCTGTGAACAGCCCCTGGTTTGGTGGCCCAGGACTCCTGGACCCATTTCATGAACTGGGACCTGGATGCCATCATGGCCCTAGCATTTGAGAGGTCTGCCCACCTGCGAGTCCTCACCTGTAACTCTGGTAGAGATTGAAGAGGTGCCAGGTCCAGGTTCGCGACCATACCCTTCCAGGCGAAGATCTCTTGGGGGTCCTGCTTCTTGCCGAAATAAATCACGTCGTCCGCGCCGTCAAGCTGCTCAATCAACCTGCGCGCAAGCTCCGCGCACTTGGCCGCTTGACGGGGGTCAGACTCGTTGTTCCTAAGCGAGGCGTAGCGGATGACCAGCGTGCTCGCCGGTCCCCACCACTCGGCCTGATCATTCCTCATGTGAGCACGTCCAGGTGTGGAGCGCGCCAGCTTCCAGCAACGCGAAGGGCCACTCGCACGACCAGAATCACTGTGCCATTTGTCGGAGTCCACTCTTTCATGCAGTAGCACCGCTCTCTCCATAACAGTAGTCCAATGCGCGTGCAGTTCATCCAGCGATGCGCGAGCTGCCGCTTGCCAGTCAGAAGTGTAATGCTGCGCCCGATCGAAAGGAGCAAGGCGGCCAGTCACCCCAGAGGGCTCGCAACTATGAAGAGGGGGAACTCCTTCCCAATATACTTGGGCCTCCGCCTCCTCCCAGATCTCCTCAGGAACGTGAAAGGCCGCCTTCTCAACAGGCGGGTCAGCTGGAGGATGCGGCTCCTCGAATGCATCGTGAAGCTCTGGCGGTAGCGCTTGAAGTCTGCGCTGCCTGGCCGCCTCCTTCTTCTTAGCCGTCTTGCCCTCAGGATCAGGAAGCGCACGAGGCCGTTCGCAGGAAGGCAAAGGAAGCGGCAGAACAAGGTGTCGGTGCCACCTTCGAGTGTGTGCCGCCTTCACCCGAATATTGATTCCACAATGGGTCTTCCACGGCGCACTCAATTCAGGCGTCATCTCCACCTCAGGAAAACCTCTTCCAATCAAACCGTAGTCATACATACGACCAGGGCCCCTGTCGCAAGTAGTGCGGCACGACGGAGTGACGATCCTCGTGCCAAGGCGTTCTGGCCAGCCTGTAGCTGCGAAAGGGGCGGGCTCGATGTTCTAGTCCGCCATGATCAGATACGGAT